AAAAAAAAAAAACAGAAACACAAATGGAGAGGAAATGTAGATCGTGTACATTATGTGGCTGTATATTGCTTTATATTTATGTATGTGGTTTGACTGTGTGTATGCGCGCAGACTCAAATACGTTTTCTTTTTGTTGACTGTCGACCTTTCACCACTTCAGTGCCAGGTCCGAGAATTGAGTTAGGGAGCAAGTCTCAGAGTAAAAGTGCATTCTTGCGTTTCGTAAATCCCAGCTGATAAGACGTAAGAATTCATCGAAGGCTGCTTTTTTTTTATTTCAGTGAGTGGTTTGGTTGCGTCGTTGTCCCGTCTTAACCGTCAACATAATTGACCCCCACAATGTAAGAGACAGTGAGCTGATCTTGCGGAGACCTTCGTGTTTATAAAACTCAGTCCTCCCCTTCACACTCTCAAACTTTAAAAAAAAATTATGTGTCTGTCAGCCACTCGAACTTGGTGGATAGGATGAAGAAAAACTAACTAGCTTCCTTCAGAGATTTTTAAAAAGAACTAGAAATGCAGAAATAAGACTAGTAAGTGAAAAGATGGCCAGATGTTTACATATTTTTGCGAAGATTGTCTTCTACAAATAAATGCCTATAATTATGTCACAAAGTATTGTCTATCGGAATAAAGCTCCTAGGATTTGGTATGGCGTATGCAAATGAACACAACCTGTAAAATTAACAAATTTATTTATTTTTAATATTACATTATACAAAATAAAATTATAGTCCTCGCGATTTCATACTTTATAGTGCTCTTTGAGAGCACAACAGTGGCTGTACCACAGCCAATGGAGTTATATCTGAGGCGTTGGTACTGCTAACTATGGGCAATTTGGGGGGGGGGGGTATTTGAATGGAGGGATAAGAGGGCATAAGTAGGGGTATAGGGAGATAGTGTGAACGTTTTGTTCTTGTTACTAGCGAGTTTGATGGCTTGGCTGGGTAGAATGTCATGTATGTTTTCTCGGTATCCTTCACTCTCTTTACCAGGTCTTTCTTGGTTTTCCTGTAGCCCTGTACCCTGATATGTTTCTGTAGTAGGCTTTACTGGCAAACTGGTGAGGTGCCATATGTGCCAGATGTCCAAACCACCTGATTGTTTGCCTCCGAATGTAGTGGAGGACTTGTGTTGCTTGCTCCCATCATTTCTTTGATCCTGCTGTTTCTGATTAATGTCCCGTCTGGTTTTGTTGACGGCTCTCCTTAGATATCTCATCTCGCAGGTGGTTATCTTACGTTCCAGAATTTTAGTCAAGGTTCAGGTCTAGCATTTGTAGGTTAAGGTGGGGTTGAAGATAGAGTTAATGAGTTTGGCTTTGGTCTCAATGGGGATATTAGAATGTTTGGGGAGTGGGGCAAACTGGTAGCTGACGCTGTTAGCCTTTTGTACTCGCGTCTCAATTTCTCTGTTGAGACGTCCGTCTTCCTAAAAGATACTACCAAGATACTTAAACTTGCTGACTTGTTTCAGCGGATATCCGTCGATGCTGATGTTAAGGTTGTCAGGCGTTCTGTTGATTTACATCGTCTCCGTTTCGCTTTTACTGATCTTCATGTTGAGCTATTCAAATTGTGCATTCATCTTGTCTGTGTGCTCTTGAAGTTGTTCTTCTTTCTCATAATATTATTATGTCGTCCGCAAACAGCATCTCTTTCAGGTCATTCTGGTTGAGGTTTGCTTCTGTCGAATGGTGTTCCTGTATATGAAGAAAAGTAGCGGTGATAATACACACCCTTGTCTCACTCCAGATAACACGTCCAACCAGTCAGTGAGTCTGTTTTGGGTGTTGACTGTGTTCATACTGTTGGTGTAGATGGCTCTGAATGTTCTCTAGCAGTTGTCCACGAATACTGTACTCTTCAAGTATTAGCCACAATGGGATTCTGTCTACTCGGTCAAACGCGTGTCCCCTCTCAACCGTTAAAAACTATCGACCCCGCAATGAAAGCGACAGCGAGCTGATTTCGCCGAGACCTTTGTTATATATGAGTTGTGCTGACAAAGTGAGTTACTTCTTTCGGATTTTAGCCTTATGGAAATTGATACGTCAATTTTATAAGTGGAGCTTATACAATTTGTTAGTATGGAATAATAAAAGACACGGTAGACTTGAATAACGTGGCATCAACTGAAAATCTATACATCTGACCCCAGGATTGATTTTCGGCCGATATCTTTATCTTGGATCGCGAGAAGTAACTCATTTTGTCAGCACGCCTCACATATGCAATTGCCCTTTCATTCAGTTGTCTTAGAGCAAAGATAGTGTCAGTGCTTCCTTTTCTGAAGCCCATTTGCGCCTCACTCAGTAATGGTACCACCTTGTGCCGAGTACACCGTTTCAAGATCTTTGCGTACGTCTTGCCTGTGTAGCTCAAGAGGAAAATTCCTCGGTACTTGCTGCTGTCTCTCTTGTTGCCTGTCTTCTTCCAGATTGGTATCACAACTGCACGCTGCCAGTCTTCCGGGACTTTCCTCTCCATCCAGGCGTTTTGGAATATTGTGGTCAGTTAGGTGAATGCTGTTTCTCCACATGCCAGGATGGCTTCAGTTGTAATGCCACCAATGCCAGCTGCTTTGTTCCTTGGGTTATTCTTCTGGGTATCGTGGCTGAAACTGGCTGTGTGTGTTTCCTTGGCTGCTTGAGTTAGGGGGTTCCCTGAAATACTCCTGCCATCTGTTTTTGATGAGCGGTATAGGGGTTATAGGGATGAGGTGTATAGTTGGGAAGGGAGGAGGGGTATAGGGGAGAAGGTTTATTTGTTCGAAGCAAGGAGTAAATCACCACCGTATCCCCTTTCCTCGCCCTTCCACAGACACAGAAGGACATCAAGGTACATAAAATCATGTGCTTTTTAATTTTAGTAATATATATCTAACACAGGAATTTGCTTCTACTTTTAGTCCACAAGAGAACCCGAGACAGTCTTGGGTCAGGCAATGAAGAGGTTAATGGACATAATAAAGGGATTCTACTATAACCGACTTTGTGTCCTTTGGTAAGGCACTTTACATGAATTTTCTTCACCTCACCCAGGTGTGAATGGGTACCTGGCCATTGACAACAAAAGATATAATTTATTGACAGTACATTCGTGTTTTAGCGCCTGTAATTTAGCGCCTGTAATTTAGCGCCTGTAAAATGGTGGCTTGCACTATTACTATGCTTCCAATGAAGTTGAGATTGTTTTAGAATGCTAGTAAGTCTCCTGGGGCAACAATATTGATTGTAAAGCGGTAAGATGGGTGTGAGCTGGGATAGGCACTATACAAAATATTTTTTCTTTTCATTATGACCACCCCACACATCGTTACACACACAAGACATGAGTTCAATTCTCGAGAAAGAAAGCTTTTTTATCTTGTGTTGCCATACGTCTGCTGCGATGCCGCATCCCTCTCAACCTGCATTGGTCTGGACAGGCAGGACCGAAGCAGCCCGCCTCTTAAAAGATCAAATGGACGTAAGAGTAGGATTGCCTTTACTTACTTCTTGTCTGACTCCACAAAGAGTCGCTCCTTCTCTCGCTCCCAGAGTTGCACATTTTTCTCTCTGTGTAGCCTGCGGAGGAGTAAGAGCGGAAGTGGTGTCATTGTCTACAGATGGGAAACGGACGGGGGGGGGGGGGGGCAAGACACCATGGTCTCTTCGGAAGATAATACACAGACAAACTTGTCCAAGACAGACATCCTTTGGCGAGGAGATTGTGGTTGTCTTAAACAGGTATGTGTTTAGGTAGGTCTATTGGTCAGAGCCACTGCAGTTATCTAAACATGAGGGAAATCGGAAATGGTCGTTTGTACAGGTGATTGTCTTAGACAACAATCGTTAGAACCGGTTGGATTATATAAAGTCGCAATTGTCCAAAACATACACCCACTGTCGTGTAGATAGGTGGTTGTCAGGGACAGGTGGACGTCATTATAAGATTGAAAAACGTAATAGGGGGAAGTGGGAAGTGATCGTTTGTAACAGTGATTGTCTTGGACAGGTGGACATCATTATAACATTGAAAAACACAATAGCAGAGAGTGAAAAGTGATCTTTTGTACAAGTGATTGTCTTGGACAGGTGGACGTCATTATAACATTGAAAAATGTATCACAATAGGAGAGAGTGAAACGTGATCTTTTGTACAAGTGATTGTCTTGGACAGGTGGACGTCATTATAAAAATGTAAAACGTATCGCAATAGGAGGAAGCGGGAAGAGATCATTTGTACAAGGGATTGTCTTGGACAGGTGGACGTCATTATAATATTGAAAAACGCAATAGGAGAGAGTGAGAAGTGATCATTTGTACAAGTGATTGTCTTGGACAGGTGGTCATTGGAGCAGGTTTGACTGCAGTCGTATCACGTTATTATCAACAAAATAGAGGGGGTAGAGGACGAGACAAGACAGTCACATTGGAAAACAGAAAGAGAGAGGAGAGGGGAGAGAGAGAGGGAGAGAGAGAGAGAGAGGGAAAGAGAGAAAGAAAGAGAGAGAGGGTGTAAGAGAGAAAGAGAGAGGGGGAGAGGGCGGGAGAGGGAGATAGGGAGATAGAGGGAGAGAGAGGGAGAGAGAGGGAGAGAGAGAAAGGGAGAGAGAGGGAGAAGGAGCGAAAGAGGGAGAGAGAGAGATAGGGGGAGAGGGAGAAGGAGAGAAAGAGGGAGAGGGGAAGAGAGAGAGGGAGAAGGAGAGAGGTGGATAGAGAGAGAGAGTGAGAGTCAGAGAGAGTGCGAGTCAGAGACAGAGAGAGGGAACGTGTTTAAATAAGATATTTGATGGAGGCTCACTCAGCAATCTTCTGGTTCTTCTCCTCCACGATTCCCTCCAGGTACTTGATGGTTCCCTGCGCCTTCTTCAGCTCACTCTTGTCCTGACTGTTCCACGCTCGCTCCTCTCTCACCAGGGCGTCTGATTTGACCAGTGACGCTGGAATAGGTTCCCAGGGGTGAGATGGCGGGGGAATTATTGTTATTTTTATGATGATGATGATGATGATGATGATGATGATGATGATGATGATGATGATATTATTATTATTATTAT